CAGCTTCCGTCATAGAGGGTGCTGTGTTCTTGGATCTTGCATGCAGTTGGGATGTGGAAGGTAATTTTGGTGCTGAAACTAGGGGATGGGCCACAATCTGGGTAAAAAAGTTAGAACAACTGGGAGTGATGGGAAACAAGAGGCCTGATTGGATTTATCTGAAAATGATGTCTCTTAGTGGGTAAACTTGTTCTGATCTCAAGCCTCTGCATCTGTTTTAAAGGGAAATGGGGTTAGAGAGAGGGGACCAAAAATTGGCCTTTAAATTATTCCGTGGGCAAAGGATCTGACAACCACAGAGTGCCAAGAGTCAGAATTGCTTTTTTTCTGTATGAAGCAATTAAGCAAATAGACTTTCTCTTTAGGCTGCTTGGATTTCTATCCTGGCTCTACCACCTACCTTCACAACCTTGGCAAAGTACTTAGCCTCCCTGACACAATTTCCTCATGAGAAAATGGAAAAACATCACACGGGGCTAGAGAATTAAGTAAAGTAATATGCATTTAAAAGACAGACCTGCTATATCCTGATTTTTTTTTTTTTTTTTGAGACAGAGCCTCACTCTGTTGCCCAGGCTGGAGTGCAGTGACACAATCTCGGCTCACCACAACCTCTGCCTCCTGGGTTCAAGCGAGTTTCCTGCCTCAGCCTCCCAAGTAGCTGGAATTAGAGGTGCCTGCCACCACACACGGCTATTTTTTTGTATTTTTAGTAGAGATGGGGTTTCACTATGTTGGCCAGGCTGGTCTTGAACTCCTGACCTCAAGTCATCCACCTGCCTCGGCCTCCCAAAGTGCTGGGATTACAGGCGTGATCCATGGTGCCCAGCCTCCTGATTCTTACTATTAATATTACTTAGTAAACTTAGGGCCCTGAAGAAGTATCAGAAAGAAACCAGGATGACAAAAAGGAAAGAAAGAGGGGGTAGTCCAGGGTGGCTTTAACTCTACAACAGTGACACACAGATCTTTAGAAACCTGAGAAAAGGGATGTGCAAGCTGCCAGTTCCTGAGAAGGTGGCTCTCTGACTCTTCTTTAGCTGAGATTGTGGACATGTAATTTTCATGTTGGCCTGTCGTGGACAGAAGGTTGTGTGACACTATGCTGGGTAGTTTGCTAGGTCCTAGGTTTACAGTGGCAAGGAGGACAAACATTTTCTGCTCCAAGATGCAGTTATATCCCCCAAGAACTGAGTAGTCTCCTACCAATCTCCAGGCTCCCTTCAACCATTGCCAGTGTCTGATCCCACCAGTGTGGTGAATCAGCAGTGCAGTTTCTGACTCATGGTTAGGGATATCCACCGTGACAGCATAGGCTGAGAACCACAACTCCTGATGGTGCATTCACACATATTGATGTGTGTGTGGCGCCCCCTTGCAGTTGCACAGAGTATGGTCCTGACCTTGATAGTTGCTCGGATATATAACAATTAGACTGTGGTGTGACTTGTATTTAATGGAGACATGCACTGAACCCAGCTTGGGGACACTGGATGATGCAGACAGGTAAAATGACTCCCTCTAGGAATGTTTCCTTAGCCAGTTGTATTCCCACAGTTTACTCAAAAGACATATCTAAAGGACAGGTGCAAAAGAGGGAATGATGGAATTTTGATATTGTCCCAGGGCTTATCTTTCAATTATAAACAAGTGCCCTGAAGGAGTCTTAGACTTTCACTGAATGTAAAAGTGAAGTGAACTAATACTGTGTGTGATGAATACACTGAGTGTTAGGCATCATGTGAGGCATCTGACTACAGGATTAAGCTGGTTCATGCACAAAGCTATTAAAAACAGACTCAGGAAAAAGAAACCTGTCAAGATTATATAACTTTCATAAGAATGGCAATTAGAAAATTGCCGAGCCACTTAAACGCATAAAATGCACAGTGATTATTCAGAATAGAGAACACATACAAACAACATGAAAAATGTAGGCGACCCAATAGAAAAATGAGTAAAAGACTGAAAACTTCCTGAAAGAAGATATTCAAATAGTAAGCATATGGAAAGGTGCTTATTTCATTAGAAACTGAGGAAAGGTACATGAAAACCACAAGACAATACCATTACACACCCACAGATAGCTGTAATTAAAAAGGCCAACCACAAAAAGTATTGATGAGGATGTGGAATAATTGAACTCTCCTACAGTGTTGGTATGGGTATAAATTGGTAAGTCACTTTTGAAAGCTGTTTGGAAGAATATGTGAAAGCTGAATATATACATCGCTTACGATAAATCAATTTTATTCCTAGGTAATACTTAACTGCAAATGTGTTCATATAGGGTATATTCACCCAAGGAAAAAATTATACACAATGATAATGGATACATTATAGCTATATGAAACAATATGGATGAATCTCACAAAGTTTAGTGAATGACACAAATGGGTACATACTATATGATTCTACTTATAGAAAGTTCAAAAATAGGCAAAATTAATCAATGGAGTTAGATAGTGATTATCACTGAGGGGCTAGAGTAAAAGAATTCACAGGCTTTTTTTGGGGGGTGGATGACAATATCCTGTTTATTCATCTGGGTGTTTATCACATGAGTATATTCACTTTATGCAAATTAATCAAGATTTCATTGATGGTATGCAGGCTTTTCTATATGTGTACTATATTTAAAAAAAATATTTGAAAATGATCAAATATGGTGAATTTGGTGAGTAGAAAGTTGTCTTAAGAGTAGCCTTTCTAATACTTAGGGAAGAGGTGATTGAAAAGACTAGACATGCAGAATGGGCAAGCCTTTCTCTTCTGGATTTAGTATAAAGCTGTCGCTTAGACTTGATCCTGCAGGTATCAGGAAACAACTGGTGATCATTAAACACAGTTATGATAGAAGACATCTTCCTAATACAAATTTGATCACCATTTTGTTTTCTGTATACATATGCCAGTTTAAATGTTCATACTTGTCATTTCATAAATATCTTGCTGCCAATTTAGAATTTAGAGTATTCTGCAAGATATTAAATCTATAGTGCAATGCCAAATTGTCAGCAAAATATTTATGAAATGACAAGTATGAAAAATTGGACTTAAACAATTATTATACTTTAAGTTCTTGGGTACATGTACAGATCATGCAGGTTTGTTACATAGACATACATGTGCCATGGTAGTGGTTTGCTGCATCCATCACCCTGTCATCTACGTTAGGTATTTCTCCTAATGCTATCACTCTCCAATCCCCCCACACCCTGCTATTTCCCCCCTAGCCCCCACCCCCTAGGCCCCAGTGTGTGATGTTCCCCTCCCTGTGTCTGTGTGTTCTCATTGTTCAACACCCACTTATGAGTGAGAACATGCGAATGCAGAGAGACAGAAGAAAGTGGGACAGTTAAGCTGTTATAATATCCAGGAAAATGGTGATGATTCAGCCAGATTAGTTTCATTGGGATCTAAAAGAAGGGAATAAAGACAGTTGTTTTGGAGAATATGTTACAAAGTAAAAGGATATGCAAAGTTGTCTTAGTTTCTTGGTATTTCACAGATAACAGGAAAAGGGAGGCACTAGCCAATGGGTGCTGAACGGTGAGTTTTGGGGAGGTGTGGAAGAATTAGAGTTTGGTTTGGACTATAGATTTAATATCTTGCAGAATCACAATGTGAGATGCTGAGAAGACAAATGGAGACACAGTCCTGTTTTAAGGAGAGAAACTGGAAAGAAAGTATAGCCTAAAAGTGCTATGTGAGGCTATGAGAACAGATGAGCTTACACACTACACACTTTGACCTCCATGGAATAACATGATTAATCTTGGGATTCCGGAAGTTCATGCTGCTCTTCCTGACTCTTCAGGGGATGCCTCTCAAGACGTGTCAGCCTCCATCTTCTGCCCCCAACTTGGGAGTACTTCAGAGTACTTGGCCCTTTTGTAATAACTTTTAGAGTAAGAGGGCTGAAGAAGAGATATTTAAGAGGAAAGTTCCTTCTGATTGAGTTCATGGCCACAGGACTGTTTTGAAGGTAGGGCCAGAATAAAACATGCAAGCTTTAAGCAGCCTATGAAATGAAGGTGGGGTTGGTGAGGAAGGAGATTAACCAGACTGAATGTACGTGGTAAACTACTATCTTGTCTATCAGTTCTTAATACCAAGAACTCTTGAATACTTCCATAAGCCAATTTATCTTCACAGAAAGCAATTTGTCATCATTAAACACATTTAAATAACCCGTTTTGGGCCCCAAACGCATTTATAAAAAAGAAATATAGAAAATGTTTGTTCCATGATAGCACCAGAGGAATATGAAACTAGCCTCCTTAGAGAATGGTTTTGAAATATCTCGTTTGTTTGAGTGTGTCCTTTACGGTGTGTTTGTTAACAGATCTGTCAGAATGGAAAACCCACTTCTAAAAATAATTAGAAATGGAATTTAAACTTGTTTCTAATATAATTTTAAATTTCTACCTGAGAGAATATGTGTATCTAGTTTCTACTTAAAATTATTCTTTCTCCAGTTTTTAGTCTGAGAAGACACCCGGGAGTGGGAGACTTCACCTCTAAAAATAAATAGAAACGGAATTTAAACTTGTTTCTAATACAACTTTAAATTTCTTTTTTTTTTTGTTTTTTTTTTTAAATTTTTTATTGGATTATAGGTTTTGGGGTACATGAGCAGAGCATGCAAGACAGTTGCGTAGGTACACACATGGCAGTGTGCTTTGCTTTTCTTCTCCCCTTCACCCACATTTGGCATTTCTCCCCAGGCTATCCCTCCCCACCTCCCCCTCCCACTGGCCCTCCCCTTTTCCCCCCAATAGACCCCAGTGTTTAGTACTCCCCTTTCTATGTCCATGTGTTCTCATTTAAATTTCTACATAAAATTATTCTTCTTTCTTCAGTTTTTAGCCTGAGAAGACACTCTGGAGAGGGAGATTTTTAGGTTTAGCAAGTGAAAAAAAGAGGTTGTTTAGCCCAAAGGGAAAACAGTGGCTAATGAAATAGCCATAAGCCGTAAGCAGAGATCAACTCAAACTTGCTCTTTTTGAATAAAGAGAGAATAAAGTGCTGCATCATTTTGTTCAAGCCAAAAAGATCAGGAAATGGAAGGGAATAGAGCTCCTAAAACGAATGGAGTTTCTTTCATAGCCTAAGTAAGGATTATGGGGCAGCTCTTCTTTCTCAGCCCACAATTATTAGGGACTTTATAAGTAATGATCAAATGAAAAATGCTTCTTCCTCCTAGCGTGGACAACTGTCACCTGGAATCAGCATGTTCTCCTGCAACACCAGCACTTCTGGTCAGTCTACCTTCCTCCTCACTGGTTTTCCAGGCTTGGAAGCCTCTCATCATTGGATTTCCATCCCCATCAACCTCCTCTGTGTGGTTTCCATCCTGGGTAACAGTATCATCCTCTTCCTGATCCGCACAGATACAGCCTTACATGAACCCATGTACATCTTCCTGTCCATGCTGGCAGCCTCTGATCTGGGCCTCTGCGCCTCCACCTTCCCCACCATGGTGCGTCTCTTCTGGCTGGGAGCTCGTGAGCTGCCCTTTGATCTCTGTGCAGCACAGATGTTCTTCATCCATGCTTTCACCTATGTGGAATCCGGAGTACTGCTGGCCATGGCCTTTGATCGCTTTATTGCCATCCGTGACCCTCTGCATTATGCCACAATCCTTACCCGCTCAGCCACGGCCAAAGTGGGAACTGCCATTCTGGTAAGGGCTGTTCTGCTCAACCTCCCAGGACCTATCCTCCTGCAGCACCTGCTCTTTCCCCAGATCAGCGTGCTCTCTCACTGCTACTGCCTGCACTGTGACCTTGTGGGGTTGGCCTGCTCAGACACCCAAATCAACAGCCTGGTTGGCCTGGTTTCCATCCTCTTCTCACTGTGCCTTGACTCCTCCCTCATCATGCTCTCATATGCCCTGATCCTACGAACAGTGCTGGGCATTGCATCACCTGGGGAACAGCTCAAGGCACTCAACACGTGCATGTCACACCTCTGCATTGTTCTCATTTTTTATTTGCCCAAACTGGGGCTTTCTGTGTTGCACCGAGTAGAGAAACACAGCTACCCTTCTCTGGCAGTGCTCATGGCCAACCTACACTTCTTGGTCCCACCCTTCATGAACCCCATTGTGTATTCCATCAAGTCTAAGCAGATCCGTTATAGCCTCCTAAAGTGCCTCCAGCAGAAGAGAATTGATGCTTTCTAGAACAGCAGAAGGATCCCAACACATGACCCTGGGACTTGGAGTGGGAAAGGATTAGCTGTAGAGAGTTAATTTTTGAGGTTTTTGGGTGATTCAGCTCTGTTACAGTTTTTGGAGACTAAAAGTGTTGTAAGCTTATGAAAGTATCACCCTGATAATCTTCTCATTGCTCTGATTAGAGCTGAACTATCTCAAACTCATATATGCTATGACATCTCCTTATCCAGAGGGCTTAACTAAACCGAGAGAATGTGTGCATCTATGTGTACAGGTACCTCTCCCCTCCCCTGGATTTTTATTTCTTGCTGACTCATAAGTCTAAGGAAGAGCTGCAGTAAACTATATTAGCCTTAATACTGGCCCTCTTTTCTCAAATTTAATATTAACCAGCTCATATAACAAGAATCCAAAAAGGGAGGTGGGTGGTAGGGAATCACATGTGACAACAGTATACAGGCCAAATTTGTTTGCAGTTATTTGCAGCTTAGGGAGTGGTAGTTTCCTCTTGGTTCTCTATTTCTGATTGCGTGTTAGAGAAAGTTTGGCATTGCCAAGCCTAGGGAAGTTGCTCACTATAACATCTGGATAGTGCTGGTTTCTCAGGTCACCAATGGTAAGGATGGATAGTCATCCACTTTCACAGCTGCTGATCTGCGAGAATGTCGGCTCCACGAGGTCAGGGATTCAGGGTTATTTTGTTCACTGATGTCTTCCCAGCTCCAAGAACAATGTCTATCATATAGTAAGTGCTTAATACATATCGTTGAATAAATGGGTAGGGTAGATGCAGGAGCAAAAAATTCTTGACAGTGGATCCTCAGGAAGGGAGGGGACTGAGCCACCTGAATGTTCGAGGCCTGTGGGGTAACAAGCAGTTGATAAAATGAAGTGTAATGAGATAAAGATAATGTCAGAAGCATTGGGGACAAGGTGTAATTCTCTATAACATATGGTCAGAAGCATTGGGGACAAGGTGTAATTCTCTATAACATATGGTCAGAAACATTGGGGACAAGGTGTAATTCTCTATAACACATGGTCAGAAGACTGTCTCTAAGGATATAGCTCAGAGAGGAGCTAAGTTTATTGTGGTGTTTTTTCCAAAGCTGCTTTCGAACTTCTAGAAGGAACTTTACCCAGAAACTGAAGGATGTTTCAGCACTATCATGGCCCTTGGCCTGCTCAGTTCTAAAATATTTGTATATTTCTTAAAGAATTGAGATAGGGATATTCCTAGTAGGAAACCACTCATTTAAAAGAAGCAGTGATGATAGAGCTGTTAGAAGATACATTGTCTATTTCTATGACCATCCAGACAAATGGCAATGTAATGACTGTGGTCATTTTTGTGTGTCATTTTCATGAATTGAAACAAGAGAATGAGGAATTTGGAGGCAAGAAGGCAGGGTGGGAGCTGTGAATTCCGTACAAGCAGCTCTAGTTGGAATTGTTTCTCCTGCTAGATTGTATTTACATTGGCCCTCATAGTATGGGTTCCAAGGAACTCAGGATCCTGTGTCTATCAGTAACTAGGAGGTGACTGCCAATGCAGATAGATACATCTGAAGTCACAGATCCTGCTCATAGAGCTCAAGAAGCAATGATAGCAAATTATGAGTTTAAAGTTATCATTGTGTTTAGTAGTAGCTAACCAGAAGTTTCAGTAAATCCAGTTTCACCAGCCACTTTAGAAAGGGAGGTCATTTGAAAAGATAGCTTGTACATATACACAGCAAATTTCCTTATCAGGGCCACCGATCATAGGCTGAATAGGAAAGTGTTACTCAGGCCCTTCTGTCTGCTTCACTTATGACCCCAATAGCAAGAGAGTTCTGATCAGGGAGCCAGCATGTCCATCTCACTGAGGTTCCCTGCAACCTCTATCAGAAACCTTACACTGACTGACATGATGGTACTCAGGACCACAGACATTTTTTGCAGTTTAAACAAAAGAAAACACATTGTATACAGAGCCCTGAGGCTGGGAAATTCCCATTCAGAGGGTTACCAGAATAAAACTTGGATATTAAAGACCTGATCTAGGATTGTAGGGATCTTGGGTTTTGTCATATTTGTCTTTTATCCACAGTAATTCTGAGCTTGGAGACTGCTCCCACCCACCGTTGATCTCTATCACCGTTTTTCTTGCTGGCGATTTCATGACTGCATTGACCTCAAGAGCTGGAAGGGATGGGGGGTCGATGCCCATACAACTTTACCTTCAGTGTGCAGGCTTCTCGGCATGCTCCATAATGCTTTCTTTTGCTGCACAGGCCAAATTACTACAGTACTGTAGAATCTGAGACTGACACAAAGGGAGTCCTGAGATGGTCTCTAAAAAGCTTTGCTTCTAGTTTACCCAGTTAAAAGATTATTAGGGTGTGCTATGCAGTGGAGTTTAGATTTTGGCATCAGTTTTTTAAAAAGAGTCTGTGTATAGAAATCTAAAGCTCCTGCTTTTAATTCTTATATGAATCAGACTGCCACCCACCCATGCAGAAAACCTGAGTTGAAAAATCTCAGCTCTGGCCCATAGCAGCTGTGTGATCTTAAGTTAGTCACTTTCTCTCTCTGAATCTCCGTTTTCTCATCATTATGAAATGGGGATACTTACCTCATAGAGAGATTGTGAGGATTTAAATACAAATGTATATAAAGCACTAAATCTAGCAGAGAACCAATTTTATGTATGTTTGGGTGGTTATTTGATTAGTGTCCATCTTCCCTATTCACTGCAAGTATCATAATGCTGTTTGTTTTTCCTGAGTTGTCTAACTCTAGTGCTTAATATGGCCCTGAGAATGGTAAGCCATTTATGTGTTAAATCAATGACTCAAGACTGAATTCCTCACAAATGGTAAATGCAATTGATTGTATAATTTTTTTATTGAGCTCAGTAGATAGGAGCACTTATTAATGTAATTATGACATCTAATTATATAATTTATATAAAGTAACTTTGATTTTGGGAGGAAAAAGCCAACTGGTTGGTTGGTTAGTTGCAAATGAAAACATTTTGTTCATGGTTACATTGCTGTATAGAAACCCTGGGTTTATTAATTCATAACTGAACTGCTCAAGGACTTTAGGTTCCAAAGGGGAGATCCAAATCTGGGCTAAAAAGTTCCATGTATATAATTCCAGCTACCAAGGCTTGTCCTGGGTTAACTGGACAGTATACTCTGAGTCTGTGACACTCTAGAGCTGAGTGGGGTCCTTGGTGACTGGGAATGAGTGACTGACTCACGTATATTTTTAGATCAAGGAAAAAATTTTTGCATACACTTAATGCTAGGCCTGGCTACTAGTAATGAATGGATTGGAGGAGGGGATAGTCCTGGACAAGGGGAGGAAGAGGAGAAAGCTTATGAAAATCAGGTTACATGTCCCAAGTTCTTCAAAGCCAAGTCTTCCTGAGAATGGTCTACATTGTTCATGGATTGGCCATGGGGAAAATGATTTCCTAATAGTCCTCTGTAAAACAAAGAGGTATTTTGCCCTCTACAGAGAAAGAAAAAGGGAAGCCTACAGTGACTAATTCAACGTACAATTGCTGTCAATTCACTCAAAGTGATGCAAAGTTATGAGGAATGCACAATTATTTATATTGGGATGCTTTGTGGATTAGAAGAATTATAAGAAAAAATGCCCTTTTGAGAAAAGTTCTTCTGAAGTCCTTCTACCTCCACCCATGGACCAGTGTAAAATACTTTTGAGGGAGAAAGGACAGAACTCAGTCAGAATTTAAAATTTTTATTATTGTGGATATATAGGTGTTTATTATTTATGAGAAATAAAATGTTTTGATCAGGTATGCAGTGTGAAAATAAGCACATCATGAAGAATGGGGTATCCATCCCCTCAGGCATTTATGCATTGGGTTGCAAACAATCCAATTACACTTTTAGTTATCTTAAAATGTAGTTATTATTGACTACAGTCACCCTGTTGTGCTATCAAATAAGTATTATTCATGCTATTTAATTCACCTACAACAAAGCTCAGAAGAATTTTACTCACAGCTTGGAAAGAAATAATTTTCTATACACCAATTCTTTCCTTGATCATCTCTTGTGTTCATACCAGTCAGGTGTTTGGCCCCATAACTCCATTGAAATGGCTTTTGTCAACGTTCCAATGAATTATACATTGCCAGTTTCACTTGTTAATACCTGTGTTAGTCTTTTCTCACGCTGCTATAAAGAAACACCTGAGACTGGGTGATTTATGAAGAGGTTTAGTTGACTCACAGTTCCACATGACTGGGGAGGCCTCAGGAAACTTAAAATCATGGTGGAAGGGGAAGTAAACACATCCTTCTTCACATGATGGCAGGAGAGAAAAAGTGCCAAGTGAAGGGGGAAAAAGCCCCTTATAAAACCAGCAGATCTCATGAGAACATACTTCATGAGAACAGCATGAGAACCCCCCCATGATTTAATCACCTCCCACAAAGTCCCTCCCCCAACACACGGAGATTACAATTCAAGATGAGATTTGGATGGGGACAGAGTCAAACCACATCGTACCCCATCCATTGCTGTAACTGTAGCATTTGACACTGTTGATCACTCCCACCACCACTACCCCTCCAAGATTTTGTGCTCTCTTGCTTTCCCTTGCTATCTCACTGTTTTTCATTCTCAAACTCTTTAGCTGTTTCCTCATGGCACCAAACTCAGTTTGTGTTAACTTGGATCCATACACTTGCCTTGATGGCTACCTGGGCAGCCAGATGCTGCTAGGTGTTGCTTGAGCTGCTGTTGAGATTGCAGAGCCAAGTTGCTCCCGTTGTTGCTTCTGTATTTGCCCCAGACTGTAAGGCCAGTTGCAGTGGCTGCTCTCATATGGTTCCTGACACACGTTAACATTGCTGTATGATACGGTTTGCCTGTGTCCTCACCCAAATGTCATCTCGAATTGTAATCTGAATTGTAACCCCCGTGTATTGAGAGAGGGACCTGGTGGAAGGTAATTGGATCACAGGGGCAGTTTTCACCATGCTATTCTCATGATAGTGAGGGGGTTCTCATGAGATCTAATGGTTTTAAAAGTGTTTGGCAGTTCCCTGCTGTGTTCATGCTCTCTCTCTCCTGCTGACTTGTGAAGAAGGTGTTTGTTTCCCCTTTGCCATAAGTTTCCTGAGGCCTCCCCAGCCATGCAGAACTGTGAGTCAATTAAACCTCTTTCCTTTATAAATTACCCAGTCATTGGTAGTATCTTTATAGTATTGTGAGAATGGGTGAATACACTGTACCTCATGGCTTTGCTGGTATTATTGCATGTCTGTATTAGTCAGCTCAGGCTGCTGTAACAAAATACCACAGACTTTGTGACTTAAACAGCAGAAATTTGTTTTTTCATAGTTCTGGAGGCTGGAAGTCTGAGTCTGATTTGACAGAATGATTGGATTCTAGCAAGGGTTTTCTTCCTGGCTTGTAGATGGTCACCGCTTCTCACTATGTCCTCATGGGGTGGGGAAAAAGCACCAGCAAGCTCTCTGGTGTCTCCTCTTATAAGGACACTAATCCCATCATGAGGTCCCTACAATCCTG